CTTACAATCCCTCCTTTTTGCCACAATATGAAGGGGGGGGGAACACATGTTATTGGCAAAAGATTAAACATTGATCATATCAGAAAGACTTGATGGGTGCTTTTAATTGTTCTGATGCAAAGGGGGAGGCACTCATAGAGGCAGCAGAAGATTATTCCTTCAGTTGCTCTCAAAAGGAGAGCTTTCAACCACGAAGGTGTAGCAGCCAGGACAAAAGTTCTGGAAATAAATTTATAGTGTCCAATTTTTTAATGCCAATTATTTTCAGAGGTCAGATATCACTTTCTGTGAGCTTCCAATGAGGTTTCAATCAAGTAAAAGTCCTAAATTCTTCACAGCCACGGTTTTCCTTTAAATAACTAAAGGCTGCCCATTTCCAAGGGTTGGTTACTGCTCTTACTTTGGTTCTTTTAGGATTTGTGAGTCCAAATTGAGGTTAGCTGGTGTGCAATCCAGGCTATTTAGTATTTTTAAAATTACACACAATGAGCCCTGGGACTCCTACTCATGAGACCATCAGTGCAACATATCCTGCTTTGCTGGACAACTGGGCAATATCGTTTGTGAGTCACAATCAGGGCTGGGTGTTTCGAGATCTCTTTTCTGCTATCTCTTCAAGTGAGGGAATTGCCTGAGGGGGATGCCTCCTCCCCCATGGGATTAGCAGGGAGATATGACTGCTTGAACCTTAATGCCAAAGAGCAAAAACTAACCTAGGAGGAGCTTTGTGTTCAGGTAGATGAAGAGTATAACAGTGTAATTCTGAATGGTGTGTTCTTGTGTATGCAGCTACTTCTAAAATACAGGCAATACAGGCACGCTGGACAAATTTTCCTCTAACCAGACAGAAATCTAAGGGGTTCAGAACTTACTGTGTCAGCCACTCCCAAATACAAGCTCCCAGAGTCCATTTAAGTGAATACAACATAAATGAGACAAGAAAGAAAACTTTACAATCAATTTCCACCCTCTCCCATAGACTTTCCCGTTATCTTCTGGGGATTGAAAAGAGTCTTTTAGTCTTTACTTGTCCATCTCAGGGTCCTTTCTTTCATGTCTGCTGGGTGGCAGTAGGCTTGGCTTGATGGTAAGAATGGTCAGTCAGGCTTGGGAAGGTCTGCTCCACTCTGGTTGCTGTGATAACTTTCGGGTGAATGACTGGACCCAAATCCAATTCCTGGCTCAAATGGATGGAAGGTCTCCTCTGGAGGCAGCATCTGGATTTGTGTGCTCCGCTTCCACAGGTTGCAGAGTCATCTGTGCAGAGCTGAAAGACGTAAGAACAGGAACCCCCCCCTTTGCTGGTATTCCTACCAGGAAAGGCATTGTTGAAGGATAAGAGATGGGGAGGTAGAGTTGGGGGTGGATAGATATTTTGCAGGCAAGATTTGAAGAAAAAAATAACACATCAGTACTGCAGTTATTAAATAGATAAAGCAGTTTCAACAATATGGGGACGCAACAGATGAGGGAGAAAAAAATGGATTCACATGCTTCAGAAAAAGGATGGACAGAGGAAATCATTTCAACACACAGAAAAAGCAAGAATAACATTTTTCTTGTAAAGGAACTTAAAACGTTCCCTCATAAACTTGGGTTATTCTTACAAGTACAGAGTGGGAAGGAAACTTCACCCTGTTCTGCTGGCCAGGCAAGCTCAGTGTGAAGGCATTTTATTGCTTAATTCAACATTATTTGTAATAATGTAATTATTTTTTTCTCCTAGGGATCAGAGACATTTAAGTTACATTTACCTCGAGGAAACCCAAAGACTTTGACACACACACACAGACACACACATGCATATAAACACAAGAAGAACATGAGAGGAAAAACAAAGCTCTCCAGCTCACACATATGATACTGGTCATTCCCACCATAAATCTCAGTTAAATTAGGGAAGGCACAAATCTTAACAAATGTATCGCGTGATTTCATGGAAAACAGAGAGGGAGAGAAACAACCCACAAAAAAACTGAAATCCCCAACATTCCTATTTATATATTTCCCTTTTAAGTATCTTTATTTAGCCAAATTGGTTTTTCTTGCTTCATCCCTGAGCAGAGTCCATTTCTCACATGCCTTGACACATGTCATATTCTTCATTCCTGTCTGGACAGGTAATTTGTCCCAAACCCAGGCCTCCATCAGTCTCCCTTGGGGAGATTTCAGTGGGATCCTAGACTCTGAGCTTCCCATTTCCTGGTCTGCTCTTCCCACTGTCCGTGACAAGACTCCAAGGCTCCACTCTTTTCTTTTACTTGGGACCCTTGCAACCGTGGAATACATCACCCCCAACAGGTGAATGTACCTTCTAATCTGTGGTCAGCCCTCAGTTTTTCAGGCAAATGGCCTGGGAGGATTCTGTCTGCAAAATTACTCAGAGTATGGGCACCTCCTTTCCAGAATAGGGATCTGCTCAGTGATGCTCAGCCTGTCACCCAAGAGTGATCCTCTCATTTGCCTTTTAACTCCTTCCCACACTCTCTCTCCCTTTTNAAAAACAAATCATCTTTCTCCTAATTTCTACCTCTGATATCTAACCACTGACAAAACCCATCCCATGTTGAATAATACTCTTTATCTCCTTTATCTTTTATTCTCAACGTCAATCTATCCATCTCTGCACCTATCCAGTATTTTTCGAATTATGTTTCTCATTTCTCCAATCTTGTGCAAATGCAATTCTCGCTGCTCTCAAGCGGCCCAAGCACCCGAATTTGATCATACGACCACGGAGGAATGCCGCAACCGTCGTTAAAAGTGTGAAAAACGGATGTAAGCTGCCGTCGTGACTGAACGGGCACGAAGTGAATGGTTTTAAGTTAAGGACTGGGTTTTTCCACCCCATGAAGACGCTGGAGAAATAACAAATACTCACAGGCCTTTGATCAGTTCAGGACGATATTTCGCTTTCGCTTTAAAAACCACCTGAAAAGGAGAATAAAATTGACCATTGGTTTTATTTGTGGGGGGGAGGGTGAGGGGGTTTTCAGCGGCCCGCTTCGATTCTATTTTGATAGGGCAGGCGCTGCCTGCATTTGCTAGAAGTGGGATGCCATTAAAATGTTATGTTTTAAAGTGGTTAGAGGGCGGTCCTGCAGGCCACTTCTGCTGACTGCCAGCTGCCTGCAATTTGGCAGTTCGAATCTCACCAGGCCCACGGTTGACTCAGCCTTCTGTCTTTTCGAGGTCGATAAAATGAGGACTCAGGTTGCTGGGGGGGAATAGGCTGATTCTGTAAACCGCTTAGAGAGGGCTGTAACGCGCTGTGAAGTAGGATATAAGTCTAAGTGCTATTGCTATCTCCCTCCCTCCCTTCCTATTAGAATGCAGCATTGCAGGTCGACTCTGCCCACTGCCAGCAGTTTGATCCTAACCAGCTCAAGGTTGACTCTTCCTTCCTTCCTTCCTTCCTGCCTGCCTGCCTACCTTCCAGAATGCAGTATTGCAGGCTAACTCTGCCCACTGCCAGCAGTTTGATCCTGACCAGCTCAAGGTTGACTCTTCCTTCCTTCCTTCCTTCCTTCCTTCCTACCTACCTACCTACCTACCTTCCAGAATGCAGTATTGCAGGCTAACTCTGCCCACTGCCAGCAGTTTGATCCTGACCAGCTCAAGGTTGACACTTTCATCCTTCCTTCCTTCCTTCCTTCCTTCCTTCCTTCCTTCCTTCCTTCCTTCCTTCCTT